TACAATTTGTACGACAAAGAGGATTTCACACTGAGCTGGCGACAAGGGCCCTTAGGGAGGAAAATAATGTAGGAAGTGGGAACTCTTAAGGGCTCTGGAGCAAGGCTGAAGACAGTAGGGATTCATGGAGGGGGTTAGAGCATGGGGCTGGCAAGCATTTAGGAAGCTGGTAATGGTAGGGCTGGTAGATGGGTTAGCTGGCAAGCATGCAGATCTGAGTTCGATTCCTAGCGCCCAGAAAAAAAGCTGGGCATGACAGTGTGAGTCTGGGGGAAACTGGCCAGGAGGATCCGTGAGATGTACTGGCCAGCTAGCTAATCAAACCAGGGGGCTGTAGGTTCAGTGAGAGATGGGGGAGGGGCGGGGGAGGTTCGAGGAAGAAGCCCGACATGGATCACACAAGCGCAAACACAAAAATTGAAAGAAAGAAAACAGAAAGCTGTTAATGGTGGTGTATGCCTGTAATCCCAACATTTAGAAACTGAGGCTGGAGAATCTGTAATTCAAGGCCAGTATGGGATCCTCAAAACAAACAAACAAATAAATAAATGGAGCTGGGTGGAGGGTTCAGTGGGTAAAATCAATGGCCACCAAGCCTGACCGCTTGAGTTCAATACCTAGGACTCAAATAGTAGAAAGGAAAAACCAGTTCTTGAAAGCTGTCTTCTGTTTCCACACATGAACTGTGCCCTACTTGCCTCATCCATGAATAAATAAATAAATAAATGTAATGTAATTTAAAAATAAAGCAGAGAGAAAAATGGGAGGGGGATGGAGGAAGGAAGGAAACCTTAGAAAGTATCTCATTGAAGACATTGTTCAACAGGTACAGTCGCTTGCTATAAAATTTAGTGGCCTCAGTTTGATCTCTTGATCTCATATGGTTCAAAGAGAGGACTGATTCCTGTAAGTTGTCCTCTGACCTCAGCATGGCTCCAGGACACACACACACACACACACACACACACACACACACACACACACACACACAACTCTGTGAGTTCCAGGCCAGCCTGTCTACAAAGTGAGTTCCAGGACAGCCAGGGCTACACAGAGAAACCCTGTCTTGAAAAAAATAAGTAACAACAGCAAAATTCATGTAAAATTTACAAAAAAAAGTCCCTAAATGCCACTCCCCCCTGTTCTTTGGCAACCTCTCACTAGATACCTTGTACCTGGTTGCATCATTGCCATAAGTGGTCTCCTCCCTCCAGAGCGAGGGCCACGTCTGTCATGTTCACCACGTTAATCCCAACGCCCAGAACTGAGTCATTTGCATCGCTGGGCCTCTGAAAGTATTTGCCAACCAGCCTTCCAAGGGAAGTTAGGCAGAGCACTTAGCGTGGGTGTGGCAGGTAGAGGCCCTTTGAAAAAGGTCTCAATGGATGCGATCAATCACTGGCTGGCTTCCCTGGCTTTGCCAGAGGAATTTTCTCATCAGCTACTGTTAAATTGTTAAACAAATAAAGAGTTATGGATACTTCTTAGGGTGTGTGTCCCTGGGAGCTGACTAGGTGAAATGCCACCCATTTTTAAGTTTTCTATTATTAAGTATTTTGTGCATGCAATTGCTTTGTCTGCATAACTGCCTGCGTATCACGAATGTGTGGGGAGCCTGAGGAGGACAGAAGAGGGCAGTGAATCCCTGGAATCAGAGCTGTGGGTGGTTGGGCACTGCCTCTCGGGGGCTGCAGATGGAACCCAGGGTCTCTGAAGAGCAGTCTGCGCTCCGTTTAGCCTCCGAGCCGCCTCTCCAGGCCTCCCTTTAAAGATTTATTTTTATTACTTGAAGATTGTGTGTGCGTATGCCTGTCTGTGTGTGGGTATGCACTTGTGAATACAGGGGCCTGTCGGTGGAGGCCGCGGTGTGGATTTCCTGGCACCGAAGCTATGGATTGTGAGCATGCCTGGCATGGGTGCTGGGGGCCCTCTGGAAAAGCAGCGTTGTCCTCAACCTTAGTTTTGTTGGCTAGTTTTGGGTAGGGTTCATGTAGTCCAAGCTAGAATGTAGTGCAACTTGTAGCTGAGGATGGCCTTGAAATTTGATCCTCCTGGGTTTCTGGGCTGAGAGCTATGATCACAGGCACGCATCCCTCTCCCCTACCCTGTGGTGCAGCAGTACTGGCCGTGAAACCTAGGGCCTTGTATACCCCAGGCAAGTGCTGTGCCAACCCTGCTACACTCTCAATTTTTTTTTTTGCTGTTGTACTTATTTATTTATTTAGATGCAGGTCTTACTCTGTAACCCAGACTGGCCTTGGACTCATAGTGATTCACCTGCCTCAGCCCACTGGACGCTGACCTTGCAGGCGTGAGCCACAGCGCCCCGCTAGCACGACTGCCTTTGAGCATCTGCCTTGGACTTGAGACCCTGGTGCTTCAGTGTGGGAGGCTGCTTGCTTCTCGCTTCTGCTCCCACCCTGGGGCCTTCCAAAGGGACACACCTGCTCCTCCTGGCCTGCACGTGCGTGCTTCCGTGCGTGTGTGCGCGTGAGCCTATGAGTGCATGTGGAGAGCAGAGGAGGACTTCGTTGTCCTGATGTCTACTTTCTTCCGTTGAGGTGCGGTCTCTCACTGAACCTGGAGATTGCCATTTTGGGGCTTCAGGAATCTGCCCATTTCCAGCCCTGTGCTTGTCTCTGTTCCCCAACATCGGGGTGCACACAGTCACACTTTTTAAAAAAATTCTATTTACTTTTAATTTTATTACATCTATTTTTAATGTATGTACATTTACCCATGGCTCCTGTGTGAAGAGAGCGTGTGCTAGAACTAGGCATGGTGGTGCACACCTTTAACCCCAGATCTCTGAGTTCGAGGCCAGCCTGGTCTACACAGTGAGTTCCAGGACAGCCAGGTCTACACAGAGAAACCTTGTCTCAAAAAAGGGGGAAAAAGGCCACAACTGCTGGAATCGTGACTCTTGCATCGTGGGATTTGGGGATCAAACTCAGGTCATTAGGCTTTCAATGCAAGCACTTCCCTCCACTGTCCCATCTCGCAGGCCTAATGAACAGCTTTAGATGACAGTAGAATAAATAGAGTCCATGGAAGTTTTCCCATGGGAACTGTTTGGAGCATAGCCCAGCAACACAGAGCTCACTCACCAGGTGGAGCAGCCACCTGTCTCCACACGGTAGAACTGTCCCAGCTACACACTCGGTACGTGGCTCTCCCTTGCCCTTGGAACTTGTGATTCTACTCTAGGACCTTATATAAAGAGAACGGCTTTCCACTTGTTTCTTGTTTTGTTTCACAAGACAGAGACTCACTATATATGTAGCCCAGGCTGACCTTGAATGCATGGTCCCCCTGTCTCAGCCTCCCAAATGCTGGGATTACATTCATGAGCTACAGTGTTGAGGTGTTACTCATCTGTTTGCAATGGGCTTCTTTCATTAAGTGTAATGACCTCAAGATTCATCTGTATCACAGCACACGCCTGACTGCTCGTTTTCTGTCTTTGCTGAGTAGAGTTCTGCAGTATGTACACACACCATCTTTTACTTACCCACTCACCTGTCTATGGACAGTGTGCTGGCTTGTGCTTTTGGCTGTTGTGAATATTGATATTGGACAAGCTGTACAAATACCTCTTTGAGATCTGTCATCTGGATATGCATCCAGAGGTGGACTTGCTGGATCATATGTTATTCTAGGTTTATTTGCTTATTTTTCTGTGCATGTGTGGGTACATGCCATGGCATGTACCTTTACCTGTAGAACCATCTCTGTTTCTCTCTCTCTCTCTCTGTCTCTCTCTCTCTGTATCTCTGTCTCTGTGTATGTGTAAGATAAGATCTCATGTAGCTCAGGCTAGACTTAAGCTCACAGCGTAGCTGATGATGGTCTTGAATTTCTGTTTTCCCTGCCTCCACTCTCTAATCGATATTTTTTATGTGTTTTTCCATGAGTGTTGGGTCCTTTGAACTACCATGTGGTTGCTGGTAACTGAACCTGGGACCTCTGGAAGAGCAGTCAGTGCTCTTAACCACTGAGTCATCTGTCCAGCCCCTTCTGTTTAATTCTTACAGGGACAAATAGAGTGCTTTGCAAAGTGGTTGACCTCTTTACATTCTTCTCAGTGGTACACAAAGGTTCCAGTTTCTCCACTTTCTCACCAAAATCTTATTTTATTTGATTCTCCTTTTGTTACACATGATTCTTCCTGTCAGCCTGGTCCCATAGCTGGGTCAGCCCCAAATGAACACACGGAGGCTTATATTAATTATTATACTCTTGACCGATGACTCGGGCTTCTTATTGGCTAGCTCTGTCTTAATTATTAACCCATTTCCATCAATCTAGGTATTGTCATGTGGCTGTGGCTTACCCGGTAATGCCTGGCATAGTGTTACTTCTCCAGCAGCATCTTAACTCTGTCCGGCGGGCTCACTCTGCCTACCTTTCCCAGAATCCTCCTCATCCCATAGACCTGCCTATCTTGTTGCCCTATTGGCCAACAGTTTTATTCATCAGCCAATAATATAAACATACACAGAAGGACAACCCCATCATTTTTATTTTTTATTTTTGCAGCGCTAGGACTGGAATCCAGGGCTTCAGGCATGCCGAGTCCTCAGTTCTGGCCCTGAGTTATGTCTTAGTCCCTCACTGGGGCACTGTACAGCTGATACATGCCCCCGGCACTCATCACTTCTTTGAATTGGAGGAATCGAGTTGAGATTCAACTTCCTGCTCTGGAAAGTGGACAGTGTCACAACCTACTCCAGGAGAGCTGTGGGAGATTCCCTGAGATGAAGGCGTCATATCCCTGTGGTGTGGGTGCTGTGCATGGGGAGCACGATGTCCCTGTTCACTCTCCATGTCACTGCTTTACTTCTTTCAGGAGCTGACCCTAACTCAAGGATCTGGGTCCCAGCAACTGGGCTGAGAAGCGATTTCAGCAAAGAAAGCAGAAAGTCAAGAGAATTGGAAGCAGGTACCCAAAGGAATGCATATAGGCACATGCTCAGAGTAGCTCATTTCCTCATTCCCAGGGATGGAAACAGCCCACATACCCATCAAGAGATGAGTGGTTAAACCAGGCGGTGGTGCGTGCCTTTAATCCCAGTGCTTGGGAGGCAGAAGCAGGCAAATCTCTGTGAGTTCAAGGTCAGCCTGTTCTACAAAGTAAGTTCCGCCGGGCGTTGGTGGCGCACGCCTTTAATCCCAGCACTCGGGAGACAGAGGCAGGAGGATCTCTGTGAGTTCGAGGTCAGCCTGGTCTACAAAGTGAGTTCCAGGACAGCCTCCAAAGCTACAGAGAAACCCTGTCTCGAATAACCAAAAAAAAAAAAAAAATTAAGTTCCAGGACAGCCAGGGCTACACAGAGAAACCTTGTCTCTAAAATCCAAAAATGGAAAACACCAAAAACCAAGAGGGAGGGAGGGAGGGAGGGAGGGAGGGAGGGAGGGAGGAGGAGGGAGGGAGGGAGGGAGGGAGGGAGGGAGGGAGAGAGAGAGAGAGAGAGAGAGAGAGAGAGAGAGAGAGAGAGAGAAGTGACTGAACCAAATTGTGGCATGTTCAGATAGTGGAGTATTACTGGGTACAAAGCTCATAACCATGATTCTCGCCAGTGTGACTGAATTTGGAACAGGTAAGGGAACGGGCCAGGCAAGAATGGTGACATTTGTATGAAAGAGGAGAAAGCCCACAGAAACACAAGGAAGATCAGGCGCTGAGCACACTGGGTGTGGTGGACGCTATGCTGAACTTAGACATTGCAACTCGCAAGCACAACCCCGTCACCCGATCGATATACACATGACTGACAATAAGCCCTTTTTAAAAGTTGTTCTCCTTTAAATAAAGCACAACCCCGTCACCCGATCGATATACACATGACTGAAAATAAGCCCTTTTTAAAAGTTGTTCTCCTTTAAATAAAGGTGTTTGTGCTGGCCAAGTGAAGGTCGTGGGTGAACCCGCAGACTCGGAGGACCCTCCTGTGTGTGGCACGGGCCTGCTGCAGACTGATCCCTCCCCCCTGCGCTGATTGGTCTCCGCGTGTCTCCGAGGATGCTGCCCATCACTGACTGCCTGTTGCACCTGCTGGGGCTGGAAAAGACGGCATTTCGAGTGTATGCCGTGTCAGCTTTGCTGCTATCCCTCCTTTTCTTCCTCTTCCGCCTGCTGCTGCAAGTATTCAAATTGTGCTGGGACTTCCGCACCACTTGTCGGAGGCTGAGCTGCTTCCCAGAGCCTCCAGGCCGTCACTGGCTGCTGGGCCACGTGAGCATGGTGAGTGTGCCCGGGCAGAGCTGAGGGGGCTGAGGTTAGAAGCAGATTCACTGGTGTAGGAGACCAAACCTCAGAGAGGGCAAGCAGTTTGTCCATGGTCACCGTTGGGAGGAGACAGAGCGGGCTATGAAGTCAAGTTCGTACCCGTGCTAGCTAGCTTTCCTGGTACTGGAAGCTGTGACGCAGGCCATTGGGGGCTGAACTGTGACATCAGTGGCCTTACTCAGAGCTAAATGTTACAATAAAGACCTGCCAGGGAAGATGTACCCACTGGTACAATAGTGGCATTGCAGTTACAGGGGTAACCAATTGCCTTTTAAAAGAAATTATCCATGTTTAGAACAAAACAATGATGATGGTGGTGGTGATAATACTAATAATTAAAATAAAAAGTTTTCTATAGTTCTATAGCTACCAGTGAAGAAGGGAGGTACTGATGCCCATAAAATTTGGGGTCTGTGGTCTAGAGTGGGGGCAAGGAGGAGGCTCCTGGAGATTTTGTTTCTCTAACCTTGCCTGTTAGGGTGATTCTATTCTTGTTCTTTCACTTGCTTTATTTTGATACCAGGTCTCTCTATATATCCCTGGCTTCCTTGAATTTGCTATGTAGACCAGGCTGGTTTTTCAAGTGCTGGGATTAAAGATGTGCACCACACCTAGCTACTCTCATTATTGGAATGCTATGATACTACACTGGGATTCTAACTCTTTCTTTGCATTTGATTTTTTCCCATAATGTCTTGTCATGTAGGCCATGCTAGCCTGAACTTCATGAACCTTCTGCATCAGGCTCCTGAGTGCTGGTATTACAGGCATATGCCAGCGTGCCTGATCCATCTAATGTTGGTTTTAAGTTTTACTTTGAGTCAGGGTCTCACTCTGCAGCTCAGCCTGACCTGGAATATGTAGCCAAGGCTAGCCTCAAGCTCAAAGCAAATCCTCTTGCCACAGCCTCATGAGTGTTGAGGTTATGTTTGTGAGCAACCATACCTGAGACAGTCTCTTTAAAAGGTGGGGAGTTAAACATGAGCTGAGAGCCCTTGCTTAGGAATGAGCACAACACACACCATACACACACACACACACACACACACACACACACCACACACACATACCACACAAACACATATACCACACACACAAACACACACACACCACACACAAATATAGACACACACATACCACACAACACACACATACACAACACACACACAAACACACACATACACACCACACAAACACATCATTCAAGACATAAAGATTAGTTTGCACGGTGACATAAACCTCTGGGCCCAGTTACTCAGGCTGATTGACAAGGATCATCTGAACACAGAAGTTCATCTTGGGCAACATAGGCAGATCTTTGTGTCTAGGCTAGCCTTGAAATTGGCATCTTCTAGCTTTCCTGAGAAACTTTGGGCTCCAATCATTCCACCCTTCCCTGCTCACACACCACCATGGATTCCCATCACCATCTAGAGAAAGGCTAGGGTTCAAAGCCTTCTGGACTGGGAAGCCCAATCTCCTGACTTATCCTGTCATCCCCCTGTGTCTCCAGAACTGACCTCCCTTTTCTGAAGCTGGCCTTTGTCAAATTGTGTCCTCTGTCCAAATATCTTTTTCTTCTAGATGAACTTTCATGCTAATCTCCAAACACACACAGTGCTTGTAGATGGACGTTTCTGTCGAGCCTGGTCCCACAGCCATTTAGTCCCAAATAAACACACAGAGGCTTATATTATCTATAAACTGTTTGGCTTGTTTCTCAGCTTACTGCTAACAAGCTCTTACAGCTTAAATTCACCCATGACTCTTATCTATGTTTAGCCACGTGGCCTGGTACCTTTTCTCAGTAAGGCATCCTCATCTTGCTTCCTCCGTGTCTGACTGGTGACTGTGTCTGCCTTTCTTCCTCCCAGATTTCTCCTAGTCGATAGCTTTGCCTATACTGCCTGCCTGGATACTGGACAATCAGTGCTTTATTAAACCAATACAAGTGACAAATCTTTACAGTGTACAAGAGCATTATCCCACATTAAGCCCTCTCTACTTTTAGGCTTCATTTGTTTTTCCTGAGAAAAGGGTCTCAGTATATAACCCAGGTTGCTACAGATATTATTATCTGGCAGCATTTGCTACCAGGCCCAACTTGACTCCCCCCCCCCCACCTGCCCAAATCTAGTCTCAAACCTATTATGTAGCTAAAGATGATATTGCATTTCTGTTCCTCCTGCCCTCTACCTGTTGAGTGCTGAGATAGCAGACATTCGCTGTTATAAGTAACTTAATAGTATCCTTCCTCCTCCTCCTCCTTTTTCTTCTTCTTTACTAACGTTGTATTCTACGTTGCTTTTCTGTGACTATGATAAAAACACTCTGACCCAAAGCAACTTAGGGGAGGAAAGGGTTTATTTGACTCATATTTCCAAGTCAAAGTCTACCGTTGGAGTAAGTCAGGGCAGGGGATGAAGCAGGAACCGTGGGGTTGTGCTGCTCACTGGCTTCGGGAGCTTGCTTATACAACTTAGGATCACCAGCCCACAGGTAGTACTGACCACAGTGGGCTGGGCCCTCCTACATCAATTACCAGATAATTCCCCACAAGATTTTATTCCTGAGCCATGCCCCCTGCCCCTCACTAAGGAATTCTAGGCAGGGGCTCTACTCTTGAGCCACACCCCTTGCCCCTCACTAAGGGATTCTAGGCAGGGGCTCTACTCTTGAGCCACACCCCTTGCCCCTCACTAAGGGATTCTAGGCAGGGGCTCTACTCTTGAGCCATACCCCTTGCCCCTCACTAAGGGATTCTAGGCAGGGGCTCTACTCCTGAGCCACTCCCCCTGCCTCTCACTAAGGGATTCTAGGCAGGGGCTCTACTCCTGAGCCACGCCCCCTGCCCCTCACTAAGGGATTCTAGGCAGGGGCTCTACTCCTGAGCCACGCCCCCTGCCCCTCACTAAGGGATTCTAGGCAGGGGCTCTACTCCTGAGCCACGCCCCCTGCCCCTCACTAAGGGATTCTAGGCAGGGGTTCTACTCCTGAGCCACACCCCCTGCCCTGTTCTGTTTTTAGAGGAGGGAGGAACTCAGGGAAGGGCAGCAAAGAACCTTATCTTCAGTGCTCTGCAGGGGAGAGGCAGTGGTGGAAGGCAGCGGGAACAGAATAAGCTGAGTTGTCATGTCTTCGTTGCCCCTTTCTGTCTGCTGCAGTATCTTCCCAACGAGAAGGGCCTTAAAAACGAGGAGAAAGTGCTGGACGCCATGCACCACATCATCTTGGCCTGGGTTGGACCTTTCCTGCCTCTCTTGGTGCTTGTACACCCTGACTACATCAAGCCTGTGTTGGGTGCCTCAGGTAGGCAGGTTGGGCCTCAGAGGGATGAGTGAACCTCCAACTCCCAGAACCCTCCTGGGGTTATAGACATAAGGGTGTTCCAGAAGAAGGGTTACTTGAGTAGGGATTTGAGGGATGAACAGAAGTTCACCAAAGAGGGTCAGGCAGAATGCAGGCTGTGAGCACAACACAGGCAAAAGGAGCGTGACAGCGTGTAAGAGTCTCAGGAACTTTGCAAGGCTGTGCACCTGCCGAGGTCACATCTAAGCTGTTTGTTCATCCAAATTGCTCATCCAGGTTCGGGTAAGTCAGTCCTGCTCAATCCTAGGCCACGGTCCTCTCTTCACTAAGACAGTGATCTGCCCAGCACGAGCAAGCACTTGGGTGATCCAGTGGGCAGCCGGCTGGCAGGGAGGCAGGTGTGGACGCTTCTGTCTACTGTCCCTTCTCATCCCAAGGGAGCTTGATGAGTTCTCCCTCATTCTCAGCACCCAGCTCCCAGGGGGTGCTCTTCCAGGAAGTCCTTCCCAAATCCTCCAGGGGCCCTGAGTCTTCTAGATGTGCCGTTCTGAGTCATAATCCTTCAGGGTGGGCCAGCTCTATTCCCCTTGAAGTGGATTCTCAGAATGACCTAGCCTGGGGCTGGCTGTCTTCACAGCCACAAGGGGACTGGTTTGGTATTTGGAGACAGGGTCTCTCTATGTCGCTGAGGCTGGCTTGCGCCAATGATCCTCTCAACTGTGTGCTACCACTCTGCTCTCTTATGCCTTAAAAAGTTTATCATTACTTTTTAGTGTGTGTGTGTGTGTGTGTGTGTGTGTGTGGACATAAAGATATGCATAAAATTGTGGGACTCGGCTCTCTCCTTCCACCACGTGAGTCCAGAGGGTGGAGCTGAGAAACCCGGGCCAGCAGCACGTGCCTTTATCCTCTGAGACACCTCACCTTCTTTCCTTTCTCTCTTTCATTGCCTTCCCTCTTCTCTTTCCACTTCCTTCCCGATCCTTCTCTTCCTCCTCCCATCCTCGGGTTCCCGGGCTGGTCTGAATTCTCTACACAGAGTCTCAGCTGTGCTCAGGGCCTTGGCAAATAGGCCTCCTTCCCTCCATGCTCCCTTTCCTCCCACTTCGGGTCTGTCTCCCTGGCTGCCCCACTGGAGGAGCAGGATGGAGAGCCAAGGGGGACTGACTGGAGCCGAGTCAGACTGGAGGGAGGTGTGGGACCCAGGAGCTTTCAGCTCCTCCCTGTGGAGCTGCGACTGCTGCCCAGGCTGGGCCCCCATCCCCTTTTCTGTCTGTCTGTCTGTCTGTCTGTCTGTCTGTCTGTCTGTCTCTCTCTCTCTCTCTCTCTCGTTTCAAAAGTTTTCATCATTCCCACAAGTAGCTTGTGCCTGAGGCAGTCTTGCTTCTGGTTCCTCCCTGTGAACCTCCTGGCTCCCAGAACCTGCTTTCTGTCTAGATGGACTTGCCGCTTCCAGACCTTGTCTTCCTGGTCCATCCACACGGCTGAACACATTGGCGCTGCGCTCTTTTTAGGACTCATTGTATAACTGGATCAAAGTTTGCTTGCTCACCTCCAGCTGGCTGTCGTGAACAATGCTGTGGAGAACGTTCCCACACAAGTTAGTACTCTCACAGTCCCCTCCTCCCGCTTGTGGTCCCTTTATCCTTCCTTCCTTTTCAATAAGATCTTGTGTGTGTGTCTGTGTGTGTGAGAGTGTGTGTTGTATGTGTGTCTCTGTGTGTGTGTGTGTGTCAGAGGACAATTTGTGGGAGCCAATTCTTCCTCTACTAGGATAAAACTCAGGCTGTTCTCCCTGTGTGACTGGAGCTGTTAGCCTCTGAGCCATCATCTTGCTGGCCCTCCTCTACCTCTCTCCCCCGACACTGGGCACAGAGCTTAGAACCATGAGCACGGCGGGCAAGCACTCTGCTGCTGAGCTGGCTCTCTGGACCTACATTTGACTTTTGAAAAAGGTTTTCATTTTTATTTGTGTGCGCATGCGTATGAGTGTGGTGCTTGGAAGCAAGCACCCCCTTACCTGCTGAGTCATCTTTGGGGTCCAGGGTCTCCTGTTCACTGTTGTGGGTCAGGAGCCTTCCCCTGTCCCCACCTCCCATCTCACTGTAGGGCACTATCCTGTCTGGTCTTAAGTGGCTCCAGGAGGTCCGAACCCAGGTCCTCACCTGTGAGGCAAGTGTCTTACCTACTGAACCGGACTTGGCAGCCCTGTATTTTACTCTCTAAGGAATTGTCTTGATATTTTCCACAGTGGCTATGCATTCATTGTTTACTAATAGACTTCCCAAGTATCCAGTTCACAAGTGTTCGCTGCCTATAAGTGACAATTAATTGTAATTAGAGTAATGAATCTAATTGTAATTAGAGTAATGAGTCAGCCAACAGGCGGCTCATCAGTCACTGCCATGTGCTGATGTAGGAACCACCTGCCATGTGCCACGATGGAGGGGCAGTGCTACGGCTAAGCAGGCAAAGGCGCTCGCTGCCAAGCCTGGTGACCTGAGTCTCATCCCCAGAACTCCACAGTGGGAGGAGAGAACCTCCTCCTGCGAGCTGCCCTCTGATCTCCACCGGTGTACCTTGCTCGGCAGGCACACACACACACACACCCCACTCAAATACGCAAATGTAATTTAAAAATAAAATAAAATGAGATGGAGGTGCCGGATGGAGACATAGCTAGGTTTACATAACAAGTAGCCGCAGGGCTGAAGTCTGGGCCCAGGCCTAGCTGTTAAGCACCGTTTTGTGTGTGAGAGCTTCTCTGAGCGGCACACCGTGTAGTAGGGGCCTTTCTGAAGCATGTTCTTTTGAGGTGGCGTTACCAGCCTGGTAGAGGCAGTTTCCCTTTCTAGCAAGAGCCTCACTGAAGGACGGTGATAGAGTTGAGGGGGAGCCAGAGGTTGGGAGAGCAAAGGTCCCCCCCACCCCTGACCCCGGGAGAGAGCTTCCTGGAAAAGGGGTCTATAAAACCAGGCTTTGAAGGATGTGTAGGAGTTAGTCAGGGGGTAGAGGCCAAGCCAGAGAGGCTTGTCAGTCCAGAGGTACTGATGTGGGGAGGTGCTAGGGGAATTCAGGTGCCCTGGGTGGATGGAGTGGAGGGGATGTGCATGGGGGAGTAGCAAATGGAATGAGAGTTAAGAGGACGCTGGACCAGGAAGCAGATGGGTTTGCACTTTATCCTGGGGTGCTAGGGCCAATGGCAGGTATATGGGCCAGGCAGCAACCCAGCAGATCTGGGCGTCCGTAAGACCTCTGGCTCGTTTGGATGGGTTCCAAAGCCGAGGAGAGGGGGGCGCTGGCTTGCTTTAAGTGCTTCTTCTGCTCGGAAGCCTTCCAGTAGCCTTCCTCCGCGACTGTCTTAGGGCCTGGCACACTCTCTGCGTTTTGATGATTGGCTGCTGTGGGCCTCTCCTTGCCTTTCCCACCCCGCCCAGGAGCTCCCGCAGGCAGGGAGTGGAGCTGAGCCTGCCTTGGATCACTAGCGTCACCTTGCATGGGTTGGGCACAGAAAGGCAACCAAAGGGGTGTGCTGATGAAGGGTGACTGTGCATGCGTTTGCCAACGCAGGTAAGTGTGCGTTGGTGGCTGAGTCACATTGGGTGCGCGTTTCCCTTCTTGGTGCCTCTCCACTCCAACCTTTCTGTGGTGTGTAGTTTTTTTTTCCCCTTTTACTCTTTTGAGGTCCACCACTCAGCTCCCAGATAAATCTGTGAAGACTTTTTCTTACTTGTAAATGCCTGGCCTTAGCTTGGCTTGTTTCTAGCCAGTTTTTCTAACTTAAATTATCCCATTTCTCTTTAACTGCGTTGTGTCTCTGGGCTTTTAACCTTTCTTTATTCTATCTTTCTTCCATCTTACTCCGTGACTGGCTATGTGACTGGGTGGCTAGACCCTGGCACATCCTCTCCTTCTTTTCTTAATCCTCCCTCTTTTCTCTCCTAGATTTCTCCTATTTATTCTCTCTGCCTGGCAGCCTCACCCATCTCTCTCCTGCCTGGCTATTGGCCATCCAGCTCTTTATTAGACCAATCAGGTGTTTTAGGTAGGCAAAGTAATATAGCTTTACAGAGTTAAACAAATGAATTCAACACATCTTTGTATCATTAAACAAATATTCCACAGCATAAATGGAAGTAATATATCTTAAACTAATATTCTACAACAATGGTGTACCAGGAGGATATATCCATCCATCCATCCATCCATCCATCCATCCACTAACCTCACTCACCCATCCATATATCAGTTTCTCCTTTCCTGCCTTCCTTTGCTTTACTCTTTAAAAATTAAAACAGATGTGCATGTTTATCTGTGTGTGCACATGCACACACATGTGCACACACATGTATATGTATGTGCACGCGTGTAGTTCAGTTAGACTGGTGATCCGTGAGCCTCAGAGATGCTGTCTTCTCTCTCTAGCACTGGGGTCACAGGCGCATGCAGCCAGGCCTGACTCCTTCTTTTATAATTTCAATTTTTACTTATTCGTTTTGTAGGTGTGTTAGGGTAGGTGTGAACCACAGCACATGTGAGGAGGTAAGAGAACAACTTACAAGAGCCTGTTCTCTCCTTCAACCTTGGGGGTTCTGGGGATCTACCTCAGGTCTTTAGCCTTAGTGACAAACACCTTCACCCGCTAAAGGAAGCATCTCACTGGGCCCTGACTGTTTTCCCGGGTCCCGAGGACCAACGCTCACTCCTCATGCTTGTATAAGTGATCTTACTCTCAGAACTATTTTTCCAGCTCCTATTTTTTCTCTCATTCATCCACCCTTTGATTCAGATTCATTCATTCATTCATTCACTGAATTAAAAAGTTTTTTGGGGGGGTGCAGAATCTCAGGAGTCTCAGGCTGGCTTTGAACTCACTATGAACCCAAGGTGGACCTGAGCTTCTGAACTTCCTGCCTTCTCCTGGGATGGCAGGCATGTGCCACCAAGCCTACCCCATTGCATCAGCTTTGATTTCTCTGGGTTTCCTTTGTTAGCAGTCTTTGCAACATCATCTACAAAGATCTGGGGTCCATGCCTGATATTCTGACCCTCATAGTGCTGTATAGCACCTCTATCTTTGAAGGTCTTGGGCAGGGGCATGGTGTCCCACAGTGACATGGGGTCCTTCCTAGATCTCATTGCAAAACTTATGATATGCCACTTCACGAAAATCGATGGTAGTATAATACCAGGCTTTGTCCAAAGCGATCAGTAGCAGGAACTTCACCCTGGCATCCAGTTGGGGGGTCCACCTCTTGGCCCCAAGATCGGCCTTGTCTGTGCAGGCTCAGCCAAAGCTGCCTTGTCGGTTTCCCTGGAGCTTCTTGGCCATCCTGGCAGCAAGGTCGAGTCAGATGGAGTCTTCCTGATCCCCTAACTTGTGACTTGGGCAATATCCAGCTTTTGGAGTGCGTGGGTATTGGGGGGGGTCTGTGTATACACATGTATGCATGTGGAGGCCTGAGGACAACCCCAGCTGTCATTCCTAAGGTGCCAGCCACCTTTTTTTTTCCGAGACAGGGTTTCTCTGTGTAAAGTCCTGGCTGTCCTAGAACTCGCTCTGTAGACCACCTCACTTTTTGAGACAGGATCTCTTATTGTAAGATTCTCAAGGGATAGATATGTAGGTGGGGTGAGATGGAGGGCAGGAGCCTAGAGAAGAGGCCTGAGAATGTCATAAACAGAGGTCAGAACTCTGTCTGGAATCACCATGGTCTCTTCTCTCTCCACAGCTGCCATCGCACCCAAGGATGAGTTTTTCTATAGCTTCCTGAAGCCTTGGTTAGGTGAGTGCTGAGGGGGAGGATGGTGGTCCTCACTAAATAATGAGAGTATGGGGGATTCTGAATAGTAAAAGTAGACCAGTTTATTTTTTTATATTTTATTTGTTTATTGTGTATATAGTCTTCTGCCTGCATGCCAGCGGAGGGCACAAGATTCCATTCAAAGCGGTTGTGAGCCACCATGTTAGACCAGTTTATTTTACAACCTTGAGAAGTTGGGTGTTAGCATAGAGAAAAGCAAAATGGATGCCCATCTCCTCTATTTGAACCCAAAACTGGTTTTTATTTTTTTAAAGATTTATTTATTTATTACATATACAGTGTTCTGCCTACATGCCAGAAGAGGGTACCAGGTTGAATTGTAGATGGTTGTGAGCCACCATGTGGTTGCTGGGAATTGAACTCAGGACCTCTGGAAGAGCAGTCAGTGCTCTTAATCTCTGAGCCATCTCTTCAGCCCCTGGTTTTTATATTTTTAAAATTAATTTATTTTTAGTACATTGGTGTTTCTCCTGCATGCATGTCTGTATGAGGGTGTTGGATCCCCTGGAATTGGAGTTACAGACAGTTGTGAGCTGCCACATGGGAATTGAACCTGGGTCCTTTGGAAGAGCAGTCAGTGTTCTTAAATACCAAGCTATCTCTCTGATCCCCGGCTTTTATATTTCTAATATTTCTCTCTCTTTGGATTTCTCATTGGCTGAGATCTTTAGTGAGGTACCATCATTCCAGCCCAGATTCCTATCCCATTAGTTCAGGACAAAAAGCCTCATCTGATGTGTAGCTTGGTGATGGGGAATGTCCTTTTGTTTATATGTTTCTCTTATTGGTTGATGAATAAAGCACGGATTGGCCAGTAGAGGCAGGAAGATAGGCGGGACTAGGAGGTGAGGAGAATGCTGGGGAGAGAGAAGAGAGAGGTGCTAAGGGACGCCATGGAGAGACTGGGAAGACAGGATGCTCCAGGCTTTCTCTGGTGAGACAAGGCCATGTAGAAATACATAGATTGGTAGTTATGTGTTAGTAATTAGGGGAGACCTAGCCAGTAAGAAGCCCTAGTCATTGACCAACAATTTTATAATTAATGTAGGGTCCGTGTGTTTATTTGGGGCTGAAGATTCCCTCTGTTTCTGACACATGGGCCTAGACTTCCTATAGCGTCCAATCTTAGGATGAACTCATCACCTAAAGCAGGCACCAGCGGTAGCTGGGAAAGATGGGGCCTGGTGCTTTCTGCTCATCGGGGATTCTCCAATGGGCTCTAAACACTCCTCATACTGAAAATGGAGCCCGAATGATTGTTTTACACAGGGAAACCAGGGAAGGGAAGGGGTTTCTTGGAGGGCTTCAGCTTGGTTTTCTGGGTCCAGGGGATGGACTTTTGCTCAGCAAAGGGAACAAGTGGAGTCGGCACCGCCGAATGCTCACACCGGCCTTCCACTTTGACATCCTGAAGCCCTACATGAAGATCTTCAACCAGTGCACGGACATTATGCACGTGAGTGGTGGGAAGAGGTTGGCCTCGCCTGGGAAGGCTTCAGAGCTGAGGGGGCGTGTCTGAACTGGATAGGCAGTGAGGGTCCCGCCTGTCCTGTCTGCCATCTTTGTGCCTGGAGTGGCAGTGAGGATCCCGCCTGCCCCGGTCTGAGCAGCTCATGGTCGGTGGGCTTCATGCCAGGTTGCCTTATGTCTCCCTTCCAGGCTAAATGGCGGCGGCATCTGTCAGAGGGCTCAGTGACCTCCTTTGACATGTTCGAGCATGTCAGTCTCCTGACCCTGGACAGCCTTCAGAAATGTGTGTTCAGCTACAACAGCGACTGCCAGGAGTGAGTGTGGCCCCCCGAGGGTGGGTGGGGGTGGGAGGAGAGAGGGACCCTCCCTGATGTGATGCAAGCTGGGCTGTGCACCCTCAGCCTGGTTTTCTTTCTTTTATTTCCCTGGGTGGCCCCAAGATGATGCCACCTCTCTGAGTCTCAGATCTCTTACAAAAAGGGTTAAAGGAGATTTTGGCTGGGCGTGGTAGTCTACACCTGTGGTCTGTAATCCTAGCATTTGAGAGGTTGAGGCAAGAGGATCTTGAGTTTGAGTTTAGCCTGGGCAGCTTAGTAAAACCTTGTTTCAAAAGTGCCATAGATCGTGGTGGTACACACGTTTAGTCTCAGCACTCCAGGGGCAGAGGCAGGCATATCACCCTGAGTCAAGGCCAGCTTGCATAGTCAGTTCTAGGATAGCCTGGGCTACATCTTCAGAGCCTGTCTGAAAGGCAAGCAAACAAGCAGAACCTCCACATAAATACATAAGTAAGTAAAATGATGCCAGCCAGTGTCCTGGTACTTAGCAGATGCCCAGGAAACACTACTCTCCTCCATCCTCCTCAGAGAGGGTACAGCCTGGAAACGTCAGCCTCATCCTTTTTTTACTTCCTCCCTCCCCTTCCTCTTTCTCTTGTTCTTCTTGTCCTCTTTCTTCCTCTTATGCATCTTCTTCCTTCTCTTCTTTTTCTTCTCTCCTCCCGCATTGCTATTTTCCTTATCCCTATCCTCCCTCATTCTCCTTCCTTATCCCCTTTCTTCTCCTCCTTTAAGCATAGATACGAAACCTTAGTTTATCTTTAAATGTTATGCCTATGCGTGTGCCCATACGTATGTGCACACAGTGCCGGTGCCCATAGAGCCTGGAGGTATCAGATGCCCTGGAACTGTCCGTCATGGGGCTGGGACTCAAACCTGGTTCCTCTTAACTGCTGGGTCATGCCTCCATCCCGTCCTGTGGGCTTTCACAGCGCACCCAGGGTGGCCTCTTGAATCTCCCTCATTCCAGCTCCTCAGTGTTGGGATTACAGGAGGGAGCTGCCACTCCCAATCCTTTGCTACACAAAGGTGAAGATATCTGACTCTGGGAGGTGCTCTAAGGATAAAATAATGTGTCAGCTTCCCTGGCTCGTAAAAAGCACCCAGTGAACATGCACTGACTGAACAAATAAAAAACAACCACTCGGATTCATTCATCCCTCAAATATTCACTGTGGGGCTGGCTGTGCAGCTCTGCAGTGGAGTGTCTCCCATGTAGGAGGCCCTCTGTCCCACCTCTAGTCGTGTGCAGTAAAATAAATCAATCAGGGCTTAAGAGATGATCCAGTGGTTACAAGCACATAGTGCTCTTGCAGAGGGCTGGAATTTGGTTCTAAGCACAAACGATGTGCGGTTAACAAACCACCTATAGCTCCAGTTCTGGGGGAATCTGGTGCCCTCTTCTGGCCTCCTAGGGAACCTGCATGCATATGGTGAACACACACACACACACATTCTCTCTCTCTCTCTCTCTCTCTCTCTCTCTCTCTCTCTCTCTCAGATCCCTGTCACAGACAGAATTAAAAATAAAAACATGGGGCTGGAGAGACGCCTCAGTGACTAAGAGCGCTTGATACTATTGCGTAGGATCCAGGTTTGATGCTTAACACCTATCTGTCAGTTCACCACCATCCGTAGCTCTAGTTCCAGGGGATCCGATAACCCCTTCTGACTTCTGAGGGCACCAGGGGCACGTGTAGTGCGCAGATGTGCAAGCAAAGCACTCACACACATAAAATAAAAGAATAATAAAACCAAGCCAAACCCTGAAAGTAAAATAAGCCATGTGCCCTGCGTGGTGCATGCCTGTAATCCAAACACTTGATGAGCAAAGGCAGGGAAATCAGAAGCTCATAGTGAGTTTGAGTCCATCCTGGGCAACAAGAGACCCTGTCTCAAAAGCATGAAAAGGCTGTCACGGTATAGCTCAGTTGGTAAAGTGCTTGCCTAGAATTTGCAAAGTCTTGCAGTCCATCTCCAGACACACACACACACACACACACACACACACACACACACACACACACAGGAAGAGACAGACAGAGGGGAGAGAGAGAGAGAGAGAGAGAGAGAGAGAGAGAGAGAGAGAGAGAGAGAGAGAGAGAGAGAGAGAATACAGGGGCTGGGGAGATGGCCCTGCTATTAAGAGCACTTGCTGCTTTTGGAGAGCTTGGCCGGCCGTTCAGTTCTAAATACCCACGTGGCAGCTAACAATCATCTGTAATTCCAACCCCAGTGGATCAGACTCCCTTTTGGTTCCTTCAGGCATTGCATACAGCTGGTGCACAGACATACGTGCTGACAAACACTCGTACACATAAAAATAAACATAATTTAAAAACATAACAAAATACGTTGAATACAGGGCCTCTGTCTGTCGCTATACAATGGAGACTGGGCTCCATGCATGTCTCTGGGCCGCGCGGGTGGCTCACTGCCCTTCTTTCTTCAGGAGAATGAGCGATTACATCTCATCCATCATCGAACTGAGCGCTCTAGTGGTGCGACGCCAATACCGCCTGCATCACTACCTGGATTTCATCTACTACCTCACGGCCGATGGACGGCGCTTCCGCCAGGCCTGTGACATGGTGCACAAGTTCACCACTGAAGTCATCCAGGAGCGGCGGCGGGCACTGCGCCAGCAGGGCGCTGAGGCATGGCTCAAGGCTAAGCAAGGCAAAACCTTGGACTTCATAGACGTGCTGCTGCTGGCCAAGGTAAGTGTGAAAGCGGGCTCCTGCCCCTAGGGGCCGGCATGGGAATTACACCTAGTGCTGAAAAAGATGCTCAAACTCGTGGGGATTACAGGAAGGAGTCAGGTGGGTTCATTCAGATGTCACAACAGAGTACTAGAGTCCTTTTAATTTAAATGAGCCCCCATTATAGCTTAGTGTGTGGTCTGCCGTGTGGTACATTCCTGTATACGTAAGCAGGCTATGAGTCCCGCTTGGACAGCTGATGTCAAGACAATGAAGTCTGTACTGGACACACACACCATCTTTCTTTTGAAACAAGAAATTTTAATTATAGTCATTGGCCAGGCATGTGGTACACACCTTTAGTATCGGCACTCAGGGAGCAGAAGCAGGTAGATTGTTTGAGACCAGCAAGATCCAGGACAGCCAGGACTACATACTGAGATTCTGTTTCAAAAAAAAACAAAAAACAAAAAACAAACAAACAAAAAAAAAACAGTTACAATGGCTTACTTGTGTGTGGGTGCACATGCATGCTTTGGAGCTTTTGTGAAGGTCAGAAGTCAACGTGTGGGAGTTGGTTTCCTCCTTCAACTATGTGGGTCTAGTCCCAGGAGTTAAACTCAAGCCCGTCAGACTGGTGTGTGTCTGAGTGCCTTCATTCCCTGAGCCGCCTTGACAGTCTAACGCACTCATCCCCAACCCCTTCCTCTCCCTCTCCAATTCCCAGGCTGGTCTCAGACTTATAATCTACAATCCTCTTTCTCAGCCTCCTGCATGGTGAGATTACAGGTGTATGCCACCATGCCCAGCTATTCTGTTACCTACAGGTGACTTAAAGGACACAAGAAGCCGGGCGTTGGTGGCGCACGCCTTTAATCCCAGCACTCGGGAGGCAGAGGCAGGCGGATCTCTGTGAGTTCGAGGCCAGACTGGTCTACAGAGTGAGTTCCAGGACAGCCTCCAAAACAATACAGAGAAACCCTGTCTCATAAAACCAAAAAAAAAGGGGGGGGGACACAAGAAGATGATTATAGGTTCTGTGCAAATATTCTTATTTTTGCAGACAGAAGTCTCTGTCCCGCCCAGTCCTGCAGTCGTTCAGTCCCACATAGAGGCTTATGCAAATTATAAATTGTTTGCCTTGTCGCTTAGTCTTATTACTAACCAGCTATCACAACTTAACGTAACCGATAATTCTTATCTACGTCTAGCCACGAGGCTGGGTACCATTTCTCAGTATGTTATTCTCATCTTGTCTCCTCTGCATCTGGCTGGCGACTGCATCTCTGCCTCTCCTCTTCCCAGAATTCTCCTAGCCTGGTAGCCCCGCCTATACTCCTTGCTAGGCTACTGGCCAACCAGTGTTTTATTAAACCAGCACAAGTGGCAAATCTTTACAGCGCACAAGAGCATTATCCCACATCATATTTTTAACTACGTGTCTATGTGTGGGTGTGTGTACACAATTGCGAATGCCCATGGTGAGCGGAAGAGGGTATTGGATGCTCTGGAGTTACAGGTTCAGGGAGCTGAAATGGGACCCTCTGGAAGGGCAGCAAGTGCTGGTAACCACACAGATAAAGCACACTTATTTTTATTATCGTTGGAGCACTGAGAATTGAACCCAAGGCATAAAGAATACCAGGCAGGTGCCCTGTCATTCAGCTACATACAGTTCTTCTGTGGATTTGTGTGTGTGGTGTGGATGTAAGCGTGTGGGTGTGGGTGCCTACACATGCACATTTGGACTTAGCAGCCAATGCAGGAAGTGTGGTGTCTTTCTCTATTGTTTTCTGACTTATTGCCTCGAGACACGGTCTTTTATGGGACTGGAATCTTGCCATTACATCTAGTCTGGTTGTTCAGCCAGCAACAGAGATCTGCTTCTCTGTCCCCAATGCATACAAAGCCAAGGCTTTTAAAAATAATTTATTTATTATGTATAATGTTCTGGCATGTAGATGGTTGTGAGGCACCATCTGGTTGCTGGGAATTGAACTCGGGACCTCTGAAAGAGCAGCCAGTGCTCTTAACCGCTGAGCCATCTCTCCAGCCTGATTTTGTTTTTTAAAAATGGATGTTGGATATCTAAACTCAGGTCTTCGTATTTGCACAGCAAGCACACTTCCCCCACTGAGCAGCTACCCCAGCCCTGTGTTTTGACATTTATTTTACTCTTAAATATGTGTGCACATGTATGTCTGAGTACAAGTGCCCTTGGAATCCAGAAGAGAGTCAGACTTCTTGGAGCTGGAGTTACAGACGGTTGTGAGCTGTGTTGGGCAGTTCATCTACAAGAGCAAACCCAGTTCATCTACAAGAGCAGCAAGTTCTCCGAACTACTGGACCCAGGCTTTCTTGTTTGCTGCCTTTTTTAAAAATTTTTTTGAGACAATGTCTCATTTAGCCAATACTAATCTCTCACCTCAACCCTAACCTGTAGCCCAGGATGACTCTAATTTCTGATCCTCCGGCCTTCATCTCCCCACTCCTGGCTTCACAGGGGTGTGCTACTCAGCTTCTTGTGTGGAATTTTTGATATGGTTCTGGACTCCAGCCATGGCTGTCACTCGGAGGGTATTTGATTGAGATCGAGGCACCTGTCTCTTGCATCCTGGTGCTCATAAGACCTCATGGCAAAGTTGTTGGCTATCCAGCAGGATAAATGGATGCTGTGAGCTGCTCAGTAAATGCAGGAGAACAGCATGGATTAGGGAACGGCGGCATGCAAATACGATGATGGCCCTTGCGTAGATTTAAGCTATCTCCAGGTAACTTAGAATAGCTGGATATGGTGACACATAATCCCAGAACCTGGAAGGTTGAAATGGGAGGATTGTGAGTTTGAGACTACTCTGGGCTACATAACCTGTGAAGAAATGGAAAGGGAGGAGGGAGAAGAGGAGAAGGGCTGGCAAGGTGCCTCGGTGGGTAGAGAGGCTTGTCAGCAAGTCTGATGACCTGAGTTCAATCCCCAGAACTCACATGATGGAAGGAGAGAATCACCTGCTGAAAACTGTTCTCTGACCCCCACAGATAGTGTCTCCCAGGAGAGGCTCAGGCCGCAGGCTTGCCTAGGAAATGCACTGTCCTGATCCATCTGCTGCCACCACACACACACACACACAGACACACATACACACACAGACAGACACACACACACACAGACACACACAGACACACAGACACACACACACAGACACACACACAGACACACAGACACACAGACACACACACACACACACACACACACCCCTAATCACTTAGTGAAATCGTATCTGTTGGTTTACATAAATGCTGAAATTGCCTAACGCATCCCCTGCTCCTCCTTCTCTTTTTACATCTATTTACTCTGTGAGCCCATGAAGATGTGTGAGCGTGCAAATGCTGCAGCGTGAGTGTGGAGTCAGTGTGCAAGTGTGGAAGTTGATTTTCTGCTACCATGCGGGTTCTGGGAATTGAACTCAGGCTGTCAGGACGGGCAGGAGTCACCTTTATGTACTGATCCATCTTTCCGTACCCCTCACTCATTTTTTGAACTGAAACATCATTGTCAGGTGATGCTTGTATGAACTCCCTCTGACTTTCCTTCCCTCTGAACTCCCCTTTCATCTTTTTTATAGCACATTGCATCCTTCACTCTGCTTAGAGTGTTTGTAGCTGGTTTAATTTAGGAGAGGGGTGGGTGGAAAGCCAGGCACAGTGGTGCCCACCTGTAACTCCAGCCCTTGGGAGCCTGAGGTGGAAGGACCTCAGGTGTGGGGTCAGCCTGGGCTGCGTGGGGAGTCTCTGCGAGTGGGTGAAAGGGACAAGAGGATATGGCTCAGCAGGCAAGGAGGCTTGCCGCAAAGACCGAGGACCTGAGTTCAGTTCCTGGGACCCACATGTTCACAGGAGAGAAAGGACCCCAGCAAAAGTTGCCCTCTAATCTCACAAGGGCGGCACAATATGTGCACAAATGCATGAATGCACGTGCATGCACACACAATAAATAAATGTGTGCACACAATAAATAAATAAATGTAAGAAATAGATGTAGGGAGGGAGGAAGAAAGAAAAGGACAAACGGGGAATAGGTGGATATGACTTTGGGGGACCCTCTAGGATGCAGGAAGTGGGGTAGAGTGGGCTCAGCATCCTCCGCTGCCGCTGCAGGATGAAGAGGGAAAGGAGCTGTCTGATGAGGACATCCGAGCTGAGGCTGACACCTTCATGTTTGAAGGTGAGGATGCCGAGTGACACTGAGAAGTGCCACTGCCTGCCTGGTGTGGGGAACACCCTGGGGACACCATACCCTGCCTGGAGGTAACAGCTTTACAACACCCATCTGCCCCTAGGTCATGACACAACATCCAGTGGGCTGTCGTGGGCGCTGTTCAACCTGGCGAAGTACCCAGAGTACCAGGAGAAGTGTCGGAAAGAGATCCAGGAAGTCATGAAAGGCCGGGAGCTGGAGGAGCTGGACTGGTCAGTGGGGAGGGCCAGGAGGCTTGAAGGGAGAAGGCTGAGGCCAGAGTCTTGAGTGTGGGTCTCTGCTCTACCACTTCCTGATTATGCGGCCTTAGACAAGTCCCTTAAGCTGTCAAAACTCCAGTTCATAACGTGGGATTGATTGTGATGTCTGCCCCTACGCCAGCAGTTCTCAGAACCCTTCTGACCAGTGGCGGTCCCTCCACATAGCAAGCATCCCTCAAGTTCGGTGACTTGCGGCAAGCATTTAGTTATTGCTTTTACCCACACATGACTGTTGTGGCTACTGGGCTCCGTTGTATGGAGCAGGGCTGCTTCGGATTTGTTGGCTGGGTTCAGGTGTCTCCTAAGTCTCCGAGGAGCCGGGGTTATTCTGGGGCGTGTTCTTCTCAGGGCAGATTCTGCGGGCACTAACACCCTGTGGAGGAGGCGAGTCCCATGGTGAAGTGCAGCAGCGTGGGGCGGGCGGGGCCCACTGGCCTGGGAGCAATGCCTGCAGACACATCACCCTCTGGGATGGAATGGCATGGTGGGTGATCATGACGCAAGGAGGAAGTGCAGAGCAGAGAACAGGAAGACAGTCTTAAGATGTAAGTGTGGTGCCGAGAGCAGAAGCAGGAAGAGTTCAAGGTCAGCCTTGTCTGACCGTGTCTGAGGCCAGCCTGGGCTATATGGGTCACCGTTTCCATCTGGGAGACGCCTCAGTTGGTACAAGGCTGCCTTGTGAACATCAAAGAAAATCCATGCTTAAAAAAGGAAGAAGCTGGTGTCTTAGTCACTGCTCTGTTGCTGTGAAGAGACACCATGAGCATGGCACCAATTACAAAAGAAAGCATTGGGCTGGCGCTGGCCTCCAGTTTCAGAGGTCCAGCCCACTGTCAGCATGGCAGGCAGCGGGGCAGCACACAGCAGACGCGGTGCTGGAGAGGCAGCTGAGGGGTCTACCCCTGGGTCTGTACCATCAGGAAGGGAGGGGGACTGGGACCTCAAAGCCCACCCTCAGTGACACACTTCCACCAACAAGGCCACACCTCCAAGTAGCACCACTCCCTGAAGGTGAAGCATTCAAATATATGATCCTAGGGGGTTATTCTTATTCGAACCACCACAGCTGGGTATGATGGCGAATTCTTCAAATTCTGGTTCTGGGGGGGCAGAGACAAGTTTGGGGAGTTCTAGGCCCATGAGAGACCCTGCTCCCCTCTCCCCCAAAAAGAAAAGAAAAGTAGATGGTGCGTGGTGCCTGAGGACTGACACTGGGGGTCCTCTGGCCTCCACACATACGCACACAAACGTGGACAAACACACAAATGCACGCGAACACAGACACACACTCACACACACTCACACACATAGACACACACTCACTCACACACATAGACACTCACATACTTACTCTCTCACACACTCACACACACTCTCTGAACACTGTCACACACTCTCACACATTTACACACATACTCACACACACTCACACACACGCGCGCGCGCACACACGCTCTGTGGGGACATACACCCATAATCACAGCACTGGGGAGGCTGAGGCAGGAGGACTGAACATTTAAGGCCTTTCTGGGCTACATAATGAGTTTCATGCGGGCCTGTACAAGGAAGAGGCGGGAAATCAATTCCTCTAAACTAAGAATTGATTTCCATTAGCCCCCCTGGCCCCAGTTAAGTAGCATAGTAAGAAGTTCCTTTCCGGTCTCTCTCTGCTTTCTGGGTGTGCCCTCTAGGAGACTCTGAGTTAAGTGCTACAGGACCCTAAACATCTTTACAACAAATGCTGGAGGGTCTGGCTAGGGAGTCCAGCAGGGGATGGTGCTAGCCACACTCTAACTGCTCTGTTTGGTCAAGTTTTTATTCTATGGACATCTTTGTGACAAAGGTGTTCTTTGGCACTTTATGACAGCAACACAAAGCTTCTCTGGGGGTTGCAGAGATGGCACAGTGGTTAAGAATACTTGTTGCTCTTCCAGGGGTCCTGAATTCCAACCCCAGCACCCACACTGGGCAGCTCACCATAACTTGTAACTCCAGATCCTGGCGATCTGATGCCCCCTTCTGGTCTCCACGGACATCTGCATACATGTGACAGATAACACACAAAACCGACCTGTTAAGAGTTAGGTGGTGTACAACTCTAATCCCAGTGTCCTGGAGGCTGAGGCAGGAGGATTGCAGGAAGATCAAGAGTAGCCTAGGCTACATAGTAAAACCTTGTCTCAGAACAACACACATGCACACACAAACAAGAAAGAGTCTTGACTTAAAAAATGAACTAATAGCTATACCTAATCCATGTTCGGTTTGTGAGTATAATAAACTATTCTGAAATCAGCAACTGGACAAACAAAAATGCAGCAAATGAGATCTGGAAAGGATGCATCCAAGCAAGTAACTTGCGGCAGCTCTGAGGCTGCCCGCTGCCCTTGAACCTCCCATGATTGCACAAAATTTCATCAGTGATAGGCTAGTGCGAGCCCAGCAGCCATTGCTGCTCTCATCTGTTGCTGTTGTGACTGGCTGATGGCCAGATAGTTTTGTCTGAACCCAGAACCCCATGTATACCAACCAATTGGACTACATTGAGCTATACCGAACTACATTCCCAGTCATCTTTCCCTTTTCTGTTTGTATTACATTTATTTTCTCGTGTGTGTGTATGTGTGTGTGTGTGTGTGTTTTAGGACAAGGCCTCACTAAGTTGCTTAGGTTGACTTTGAACTCACTCTCTAGCTTAGAGGAACATAGGTCTGGCTGGTAGTTACATATTTTGCATCCTAAGACTTTGTTTTAGGGCTTGGGGGTCACAGCCGGTGCCTGCAACAAACCAGGTTCAGCAGCCCATTCTCCCTTACTCAATTAAAACAGCCCAGCTGCTAATGGGAAACAGAAAAAGGAGACCTATTCAATGGAGCCACATCGGGAAGGCGTGGGGCAGACAACAAAGAGGGACAGGGACACTTTCCCAAGTCCATCTTTGGGCTCTTGGATGAGGTTAAGATTTAAGTAGAAGCCGGGCGGTGGTGGCGCACGCCTTTAAACCCAGCACTCGGGAGGCAAAGGCAGACGGATCTCTGTGAGTTCGAGGCCGGGCTGGACCGATAGCCTCCAAAACAATACAGAGAAACCTTGTCTCGTAAAAAGAAAAAAACAAAAAGAAAAAAAGATTTAAGTAGAGGCCAGAGTTATATATGTGTAAGCAGCCCTGCCGAGGTGTGGCCCCACCCACTCTGTAAAATGGCCTACCTGTAAGTCTCTTTATGGGAGAGCGTTTCCCCTCTGGGTGGCCTAGCCTTTATGCTTCCCCCTTTCCTGGCGTTAGACCCCTGGGGGAATTCCAGTTTCCTGGACTCCATTGCTTCGGTAGTGTGACTGTCAGAATGAGGGGGTGTAGTGTCTCTTTAGACACTCTTCATTCTTCTCCGGCCAGTCGCACTTCTGACACCGGCCTGGGACATCTGCAAACTGCAGAAGCCATGGGACCATTCTGGATCTCCGAACTGGTCCTACAAAACCATTCCCGTGTGCTCGTGCGTGTGCGCGCGTGTGTGCGCATGTGCTTCACAATTCCTTTCTCTTCAGGGACGACCTGACGCAGCTGCCCTTCACCACCATGTGTATCAAGGAGAGTCTGCGACAGTTCCCACCGGTGACGCTCATCTCTCGCCGGTGCACCGAGGACATCAAGCTGCCAGATGGGCGCGTCATTCCCAAAGGTGCCCGCTCTCTCCCCGGCACTGCTATGGCTTGGTTTGCAGGGGTGCAGCCATGCCTGCTGTGGGTGCAGGGTCCCTACGATGGGGAAGACCCCTTTGTGTCTGTTGCTAGTGATGAGAGCGTCTTAGTTTCATGTCCTGTCGGTGTGACAATGAAACCCAGCAAAAGCAGTTTCAGGGGTAAAGAATTTAAGTGGTTCATGATTCCGAGTTATAGTCTATTATGGTAGATGTGGCAGGGTGGCAGGGACTTGAAGCCCCTAATCGTATTGCAGTCACAGACAAGAGCAGGGCCCGTAATGAATGGCTCTGTGCATGCCGGTGTTCAGTTCTCTCCTTATTTTGTCCAGGTCCTAGCCCATGAGATGGTGCCACTTACATTCAGTGCGTCTTCCCACCTTAAGTAATCTGGTTGAGAAACTAGTTTATGGCTGGGCGGTGGTGGCGCTCGCCTTTAATCCAGAACTTGGGAGGCAGAGGCAGGCGTATCTCTGTGAGTCTGAGGTCAGCCTGGTCTACAGAGTGAGTTACAGCATAGCCAGGGCTACACGGAGAAACCCTGTCTCAAAAAAGCAAACAAAAAATATTTTATGGGGGCTGGAGAGATGGCTTCAGCACTTTAAGAGCACTGGCTCCCAGCACCCATATGGTGGCTCACAACTCTCTGTAACTCTAGTTCCAGGGCATCCAATGCCCTGTCCTTAACTCTACAGGCACCAGGCCTGCATGTGGTCCACATACACACATGCAGGTAAAATACTCACGTACACAATAAATAAATAACCCTAAAAATAAAGAAAACAAAACCACTTGCTGTTCTTGTAGAAGACCGAGCTAAGTTCCAAGCACCTTGTTGGACAGTTCACAGCCACCTGTAACTCTAGAACCAGGGAATCCGACACTCAGGATTTCACAGCAAGCTCTTTTAGCTGCTGAGCCCACAAGGTTAGTTTCATCCAGTTACCTGAGAGCGTCTCTCTTCTGAGAGCCAAGCTGTATTTGGGGTGATGCTGGGGGCTCAGGCTGAAGTACCACCGGGTCTCCGGAGAGATGCAGTAGGCCCCACACATTCCTGTCTGTGTGACATCAATGATGGGCAAATCGAAAAAATCTGGCTTGAGAGGCCCAGGATGGAGGGAAGGCCTCATCCCGGGAGGAAACGCGGATGGCTTCTCTCCACGACGTAAGAGCAAGTGTGCTTACGGAGGAGAGCATCGGCGTGCAGATGGTGAACGGCCTTGAACGTCACGTGCAGGCGCCTGACTTCATCAAGAGGGCAGAAGGGAGCCAAGGGTGGCAGCTCCATGTAGCAGGGGCGAGGATGTGCCTGTGAGCAGAAATGCCACACTGTATGGACAGTCGGGTGATGGGGGCCTGCTAGAGAGAGGCAGAGAGAGAGAGAGAGAGAGACAGAGAGCAGACAGACACACACAGCAGCAGCAATTGCTTTCAGAGAGGAAGAACAGGAAGTGGAGGTAGCTGGCTCACAGGTGGCTGGCTGAAGGAGAATTAGGTGGTGGTGGTGTGTGTGTGTGTGTGTGTGTGTGTGTGTGTGTGTGTGTGTGTGTGTGTGTGTGTGTGTTTCCAGAGGCCCCCCTGGGGCCCCACTGACTCCAAATGTCCCTACAGGTATTATCTGCTTGCTCAGCATCTACGGGACACACTACAACCCCTTAGTGTGGCCTGACTCTAAGGTAAGATCCTGCTTTTGTCCATCTATGGCCATGGCCCCTTCTCCAGGATGCTTGCAGGGACTGGCCCTCCCGCTCCTACTGTTTCACCCAGTCCTTGCTAACAGTCACTGGGCATCTACTGTGTGTGGTGCTCTGTGCTCGGCACTGATAACCTACTGGGAAACTGCCTTTGCCCTCATGAACCGTCAAGTCAAACTCAGGGCAACAAGCCATAGATAAGATCATTTGGGGAACTGCTGAATGCTCGAAGGAAGTAAAAACAGATAGGGTGGAGGGGGGCATTTAGCTGGGGGGGGATCAGGAGAGGCCTTGAAGACAAGATAGCATTTGAGCTGAGACCTAACGAGAATGAAGACTAGGAGAGACCTGTTTCAGGCTCAGGAAGCATCAAATGCAAAAGTCCTGAGGTAGACAAGAGCCTGGGTGCTTGACCACAGGAGGCAGGCATGGCTAAGCTGTAGTGTGTGCCGTAGGGTGGAGCAGATGGCCCCGGGGTGTCCCAGCTGCAGGGGCCCTCAGAGGTTGGGGTGCAGGTCAGGCTGTGTGGTTACCTCACCCAGGCAATTCTGATCCAGGTGTACAATCCCTACCGCTTTGATCCGGACACCCCACAGCAGCGCTCCCCGCTGGCCTATGTACCTTTCTCAGCAGGTCCCAGGTAAGGCCCCTACTACACCAAGACATCACCACAAATAGGGACAAGGACCGGGTCAGGTCAGGGATGTGCCCCATGGAAGCAGAGACGAAGCAGAGACCATTCCGAGAGGGCGTGGCAACCCACGTCCCGTCGGAATCAGATTGCAATTCCATCCTTGAGAACAGGGTACCCCTCCTGTACGTTAGACCCCGGGTTCTGGGCTCACACACCTCCAACAGCTCTGCGATGCGGTCTTCATTCCGGTGCTACAGAGGTGGGAACTAAAGCTGAAACAAGGGCAGCCATCCGTCAGGACACACTGGTAGTAGCAGGCTGTGCTAGGATTTGAACGTTTGACTCCAGGGTTGAGGGTCCTAAGGATCCTTGCCTCTCATTTGAACCCTTTCTGCAGGAACTGCATTGGGCAGAGCTTCGCCATGGCAGAGATGCGAGTGGTCGTGGCGCTGACACTGCTGCGCTTCCGCCTGAGCGTGGACCGAACGCGCAAGGTGCGGCGGAAGCCGGAGCTCATTCTGCGCACGGAGAACGGCATTTGGCTCAACGTGGAGCCTCTGCCCCCGCGGGCCTGAACGCTCCCGGGCCCCGCTCATTCCGGGGTTCAGGCTCCGCCAGCTCAGGCCTAGACCACGCCTCCAAGAGCCTGGGTCCGCCTCCAAGATCTTGAGGGCGTAGACCACGCTCCTCGAAAGTACAGGAGGATAAAGTTTTGTGGAGGACTCTTGTTAGTGATGACCACGCCCCTCAGGACAAGGCCTAGCCTTTTGGGATATGATTCCATCCCTTGAGGTCAAAGTCCCGCCTTAAATTATCCTTACCTTCAGGGTGTGGATAATCAGGCTAGTCCCTGCCCCCTCGGACTTGGGTCACGCCCCCAACGCAAGTCTGCTCAGGTTCCCAGGCTGGTCCCCTGGACCTAAGACTCAACGTTGGGACTGGATCCTTGCCTTCCCTCTGGCTACGCCCAGGTTAGCTTCTAAACTGAGGATTTAGAAGCCGGAGCCTGAGGTTGCAGCCCGGAATCCTCAACATGACCTTTCCGAGACTCGCACCTACATGGAAGGACTGCACACGCTGAATCTCAGGACTTTGTTCGCTTTGCTGTTTATAAACCTGGACCCTAACGGGTCCCTTCCTCCTCAGCGACCGTCCCTTTGCTGAGTTTTCTCATTTTTTAAGAGTAAAAGCAAGAGGATTCAGACACTTTCCACCTCACCCCGTCTCAGATCTGGAGTCCAAGATGGGGGAGGAGGGGCTCTTGGCAGTTGGGAAGTGACTAGGAGGGGAGCTGTTTGTTGTTGAACTAAACTCAGATTTGGAGGGACAGCGTGCACTGTTTATTTGGTCAATAGATTACATATTAATGCAATGTCTACTGTCATGGGGTGAGGAGCACAAACCCACCTAGTTCCTACCCTAGTCGGGGAGAAGCAGATGTTTAGCAAGCAATTACACACATCAGTGATTATTTGAAACGCATGACAAAGGCTTCAAACACGAGAGCCCTGGCTCTGGGTGACTCTGACAGGTATGAGGAAAGGAGGGTCAGGGGAACTTGGATGCTAAAGAGGGGAGGTTGAGCGGGTGACCCAGAGTGTCACAGGCACAGGTCAGGGTTGGGGAAGAGCATGAGGAAGTTTAGAAACTCACAGCAGGTGGAGGTGTGCATTTGCATCCGGGTAGTGGGAGCAGAATGGAGGAAGGGAGTCGTGGGAGGGGTGAGAAAGGACAGAAGAGACATAGATCAGGGCTAGTATGAAGGGGACGATGATATTGACTATCAATTCATCCAATATTAATAGGCGTCTTCTGGGAGCCATGCATACTTGGGGCCCTTGAACATGTGACATCTAGATAAATGGCAATAGATATGTAAGGAAATTAGCAAATTCACTAAGCGCACTGGAGGATACTGTACAGACAGACGTTGGCTTCTCTTGTGAGAAAAAGCTTAAGAGGGGCCTACACAGAGGTGGGGCACCATTTGTTAGGGGCTGTGTTGGATGGAGACCTCATGAGACAGAGGGTGTCGGGGGGGGCGACTGCATTGGTCCTGATGATGACTGAATCACGATGGCACTATTGAGGTGATCCCAGGGAGGAATGTTTGTCCCATGAAGGAAGTCCTGGCAGGCTTGCCTATGTGGGGTTCAGAAGAAGGGGAGGGCTCTAGGTTTGGGCTCAGTCTCTTGGCGAAGTGGACCCGCCACAGGCTGGCACGGGGGTGCAGAGTGAAGAGACGGAGTCGGTGCGATCAGGGTGTCAGTTTGGGAGGTGTGAAGCAGGCTCTTGGAAGGACGGCGCGAGCGCAGTGGGAAGCAGGTCCAGGGCCTTGTGCCGCACACTCTACCACTGAGCTTACCCTGTCGAATAGTTCCTGAGCTTGGGTGTGGGCTCCAGGCTGGGACATACATTTTGCAAGTCTGGGTGTTTAGATAACATTTAAAGACTTAGAGAACTGGGCTTGGTGGTACATGTCTTTAATCCAAGCACTCTGGAGGCAGAGGCAGGTGGATCTCTGTGAGCTTGGTCTATATAGGGAGCTCCAGGACAGCCAGGACTACATAGAGAGAGTGTCTCAAAAAAAAAAAAAAAAAAGTAAAGGAGGCACTAAGGGGTTTGGGCTGGGGAAGCAACTCATTCGGTAGAGCACTACACTTGGCCTAAAGTATGTCTGAGCTCTTGAGTTTGATCCCTGCATTACAAGAAACAACACCCCCCACCCCTCAGCGAAGACTGTGTGTTCTTACATTTGTGTGTTCATGGAATGCACACACACCCAGGAGCACGAGGAAGGGTTCTTGAAGCTCTCCACAGTTGATGTAACAGTGAGATTCGGGTGAGCTTTCTGTGCGCTCTTCCAAGGCTTGGCTGACGTAGGCAGGCACATCCCCAGTCCTTGTTTTCTTGAGACTGGGTCTCCACCTGGGCCAAACTGGCCTTACACTCAAGATGGAACGCCTCATGCCACTTGGCTCCTCATGCCACTTGGCTCAGGTGTCTTCCCACAGGCTCTTATTTAATCCAGGCACTGCTCCATGACTTCTGATCATCACACAGACACTGAAACTCAGGGCCCACAGGGAAGCAACTCACTCAATACCCTTATCTTGGGGGTCTCAGGGCAGATCTTTTCCTGCAGCACCTTCAGGCTTCCTGTGTGGTTGGATCCCTAAGCCTCTGTGTAGCACTGGGAGTCAAAAGATGTCTGGAAGACCTGCTAAATTGAATTTGATTACTGTGGCAGTGGCAGCGCCGCTACGAGTCTTGGGGCGACCCCTAGTGGCATATTGTGGGATCGTCGGCCCGTGTTTACTGCTCGCGGCACGCAGCGGGCTGAGTTCCTCCCGAGTCTCTCTCTCGGCGGTGTGGCTCTCACACCATCGCCACGATGCAGGGGCTCCAAACGCGCGTCTTTCTCCAAGACCTTCTCTCGTACGCAGCCCCGTGGTCCTCCAGCAACAGGACAAAACAAAACAACCGCAAAAACTTGGTCTTGGGGATCCAGTGTCTGTGAGATCTATCTTTGGTAAGGGATTGCTCCTCTTTGCGGCTCAGTTTTCCGTGGCACCACGAGTCTTGCGGGTTAACCAAGCTCGAAATCCATAAACCTTGTGAGGGTGGATAAATGACAGGAGGGAGGGAGGGATGGCGCCAGAATTCAAGGGGTTGCCGTATCTTTATACCCCTCCCCCATTCTTGAGAGAGACAGGGTCTCATATAGCCCACGGTGGCCTAGAACTATCTGTGTAGCCACTAAGGGTGCCCATGAACTCCTGGATTTTACACTACCAGGCTTTTGTGTACACAGTTTGGGTGATAGTTTTTCTTTTAATGAATTAATTAATTTTACATCCCGATCACACTTTCAGTGACTGTTCCTTTTAAGACCACGAGGCTGGGGAGGATGCACCCTAGTCTTCTCTTACTTGTGTAAGAGGCTCCCTCTGCTGGTCAGAGTCACCAGTCTAAAAAGTTCTTCCTCCAAGAATTCCCACGTTTATGTGTGGACACCCGCCAATTTGCTTGTGTGCACCTCTGCCCCTGAAAGTGTCTAGGCAACTGCACGCACACACCTCATGGTCTGTGCATGACCATTCGTGCATGTATGTGAGTATTCTTGTGTCTCTGTGTGTTTGTGATTATGTGTGCATGTGTTGGCGGCAAAGGCAGGAGAAACACCCAGTGCACTTGCAACTGTCAAACCAGCTGTGCCCGTGGTCAGTCTGCCCTAGTCTCCACGCTTGACCTTCCTATCACAGGCTCCACACTCCAGAGTGACACTCCTGGGAAGCAGCCCCAGGTCCTCGCTCTGGCAGGGATGACTCTGCGGTTGGTGTTCCTTGCTCTCTGTCCAGAACTGGCTGTCCACAGTGCAAACTTGCTTCAAGCTGCCTTTAACTCCTGTCTCCCTTTCCCATCCCATTTCCCATGGAGTGTTTCTGGTGTTCCCTGGGATCCCCTCCAAAGAGATGCCTAGAAGATCTCCTCCCAAAGAGATGCCTGGCAGTTTGAACCTTATCTTAGGGTTGCTGCCAGGTAAAGTCTTTGACCTGGAACCCTTGTATCAGGGTTTGCGGGTGAGTTCAGACTCACCAGATGTAATGCTGGCTGGCTCCCCCAACTCCTCTAGTCATATACTTGTGTCCTGATTACCAAGAGGGTTTGATCTTAGAGGGGAAATCACTTGCTCAGGCCACACACAGTCGGTGAGTGGCGGAGCCCAGCCTTGCCCTTGGTCTGTCTGATTCCAAGACAGGTGCTCATTGCTTTCCGTTTAACAGCCTGCTAAGGGTCAGAGAGTTCATGAGGGGTGTTTACAGCAGTGACACCAAGAATCATAGCTGGTGTGTATGTCTTCATTCTGTCATAAAAGTAGGCGTCAAACACGTGCTTCATCCTGTCCATCCTAACCATATGCTAAGGAGTATTGTAAAACCCTTCTCTACTTCCCTCCCTGGCTGGTTGTAAAAAAGAGGTAAGTATGGAAAACTGCCTAATAGTCTGCAAATTCATGTAACACTATAAATAAATGACCCAGAGACAGATATTGGGGTTCAAACTTCAAGCTGAAGATTAGAAGAGCAAAGTAGCGGACAACTAGCTCTTACCTCTACCTCAGGCTGAATGGGCTGATCCTGCTGCCTCTCCTCAGCATGGCTGTGAAATCCTGAGACTGAATGTCTTCTTTTTTTTTTTTAAAGATTTATTTACTTATTATGAATACAACATCCTGCCTCCATGTATGTCTGCACTCCAGAAGAGGGCACCAGATCTCATTGTGGATGGTTGTGAGCCACCATGTGGGTGCTGGGAATTGAACTCATGACCTCTGGAAGAGCAGTCAGTGCTCTTAACCTCTGAGCCATCTCTCCAGCCCCTGAATGTCTTCTTATCCTCCTTGACACTGAGACTTTCTGTCTTCAGTGTGGTTGGAGAATCAATGCCTGATACTGAGACCTATTCCTGTCTTATATACCTCTCATGGGATTAAAGGTGTGAGCTATAATTCTCTTTTAGACTGGTTCACTCTAATGTACCCCTGGGTGGCCTTGAACTAACAGAGATCCGTCTGCCTTTATCTCTTGAGTCCTAGGATTAAAAGTGTGTACCACCACCTCTTAGCTTCTGGCAGCTGGGACTAAAAGTATGTGCCTGGCTTCTGTGGCTTGTGGCTGACTTTGCTTTCTGGACCCTCTGGCAAGCCTCAATAAATCATAAATAATAGATCACCACAAATTCATACTTTGGGGAGGGCTCAGCGGGGCTGACTTTCTATACTCAGTTGAACATTATTCAGAGCAGCTCCTCCAAGATGAATGACTGTCATGGTGGACAAATGTCATCTTTTCAGACAAGGGGCTACTGCAGCTTCCTCTTACGGTGTCCACGGGGGCCAAGACTGTTTAATGCGATGGGACAAGAAGGAAACTGGACACAGACACCAATCAAACACCAATGTCCAAGAAGTCTTGGGGACTTCTCAGATTCCAGGAGAGAGGAATTAGGCTCCATCCCTGACTTAGTCTACAGATGGCTTTAACATGACATTGTCACCTTTGAAGTTGGTACTCCAGAAACACATAATCAAGTTGCCAAATGAAAGAAAAGAAAATGAACTGTTTTAATGATATGTCTGAGTGCTCGAGCTCGTGTGTGTGTGTGTGTGTGTGTGTGTGTGTGTGTGTGTGTGTGTGTAATCAGGAAAAGAGGCCAGAGTCTGTGAACTTGGAAATGAGCAGGGGGTGTGTGTACACACATTAGGGATTAGAAGGAGGAAAGGGAAAGGAGAAAGGGATGTAATTATAGTTTAGTGAACAA